TATATGAATTCTGAAATATATTGATACGTAAGATTATAAAAAAATTTGAAATATTTTCTGAATAGTTATAAAATGATACAGAAATTCTAAAAATTCAAAATTGTTTTACAAGATGCGTCACCAAAATCCGGACAAATTTCAATTTAAATTTTCCACTATATTGTGCCTCCGCCGCATCCGAGAAAGCCATATATATATATACAATTATAGAAAATTATAGAAAATTATACAAATCTTACAATATTTTATAGTTCACATATACGAGATGCGTCACCAAAACCCAGACAAATCGAACAATTTATTTAAACTAAATGTTTTCAATGTAAAATTAAATATTACAAAAAATCCTTTTACATGGCACTTGGGAGATCCCTGTAGAGCACAATTATTCGATATATCCCCTCATTAGCTTGAATAACGGCCTCTATTCTCAGTCTGCAAGCACGCTGTAATGTAGCGCCGTCCATACCGACGAATACTGCCTCAGTAGCGGCCCTTAATGACGTCACATTGGGATGCCGAGACTTGTTTGTGACCTTTTTAGCTACGCTGCATACGTAGTAGTCCAAAGGATTTAAATTTGGGCCATTGAGAGCCGAGGCGAGCAACTCGGCTTGTCCTGGCAGCCTCAGAGAGCATCTGTCGTATCTTTAATGTGTACGATTTGTATCGAAAGTCCTCGTCGGCAATTCAACGCATTGTTGGCTCGTTTACACCAACAATCGATGCTAATTTTCACAACGATTGTCCTGGGTTATTCGAAATCAGCACTTGAGTCCTTTCAACGACTGCGGGGGTACTCGCGGTGCGTTCTTTCGAGTGACTCTTCCTCACCGGCATATTGGAACTTTCGTTGGACTGTTCTAAAGCATATATATATATATATATATATATATATATATATATACAATTGTATATATATATACATATATATATATATATATATATATATGTATATATATATACAATTGTATATATATATACATATATATATATATATATATATATATGTATATATATATACAATTGTATATATATATATATATATATATATATGTATATATATATACAATTGTATATATATATACATATATATATATATATATATATATATGTATATATATATACAATTGTATATATATATATATATATATATATATACAATTGTATATATATATATATATATATTAGGTGTAATAAAAATAATGGATTTCTTTTTACTACTCCTAATAACATATTTTGTAATTATATTGTGATGTACATATACAATATACATATATACAATTATACGAGGTCTGTTAAAAAAATAATCGAACTTTTTGAATTACGCGGCAACGGAGCGTCCTAGCGACATGCAGTTGGCAACACTACAATTGTTATAATTTTTCGAGTAACCGCCTTTTTTCAGATTGTTTATATTTCGTTTAATTTCAGAGTTACTGCTATTTGAGTGCAATGTATTTTAATGTTTATCGCGATGTCCGATTTACGGGAGCAACGAGGCAACGTAAAATTTTTTTATTTCAATGGAGTTGTGCATTTTGAATTATTGCCTCGAAGTCAAACAATCAACTGTCAATATTACGAAAGCGTTTTGAAAAGGTTGCGTGAAAAAATTCGCAAAGAGATCATAGTTGTAGCGAGACAAATCAAGAGATCTGTTTTTTATTGCTGCACTCTGAACTGGTGCAATAAATTGAAGTAAAACAAATGTATATTTGTTTCACTTCAACTTATTGTACTGTGTACCAAGAAAGTGCAGCAATAAAAAACAAATCTATGGTTCCTTCATCATGACAATGCGTCTGTCCACTCAGCTTTGTCAATTTGCAAGTTTTGTATAAAAAATCAGACGACTGTCCTTCCTCAACCTCCTTACTCCCCAGACTTTGCTTTCTACGACTTTTTTTTGTTCCCAAAATTAAAATCAATGCTGAAAGGACGCCGTTTCGATACCATTGATGACATTAAGAAGAATTCGTCATTGAAGGATATTCCAAAAGAAGCTTTCCAGGATGGTAAAGTGGAAACACTGCTGGAACAAGTATGTGAATAGAGGAGGGGAATACTGTAGGAAACAAAGATCAACAAGCCGTATGTTTAATAATAAAAATTAAAAAAAAGTTCGGTTATTTTTTAAACAGGCCTCGTACATAAAACATTTTTTCCTGGATAAATGAACAAATCAATATATAAATATAAATAAATAAATAAGTACAATTTGTACCAACAATGCTCATACTTATAGCTCGGCGGAATCTTCAGGGCACGTACGGAATTATTTCGTTTTTCCTAGAAAACATAATGGAAATCTAAGGAATAATTGAATAATTCCAATAGGAATCCATTTCAAATAATGTTGTATACGTACTGTGCGGGAGTGCACCGCGCGGAAAGATTCGAGTGAGAGAACGGTACACGGTTGATATGATACACGACAGTAAAGAGAACTCCGTTTCTTTGTAATTTAACAAAAGAATTTTCTTTAATATGCTCAGTTACAAATTCTGAAAATATAATTAATTAAATATTAGATTAACAGAATATTAAATGCGGTCACCTTTTCCAAATTGTAGTTGGAATCGCGGTGATGGAAAATCTCAGCGATTTTCTCGGCACTTCTCGAAAAGATTCGTTTTATAGCGGTTTTCACTAAGCGGTTAGCACGGCGGTTTTACGAAGCGATATAGTAGCGAGATTATGACTCTAAGAACTCTAAGAAGTCTAAAACTCTAAGAGAGAGGACGGCGAGATTGAAGCATTTATTGCTTTCGGCCTGGGCTTTCTTCTTGGGAAAAATCCAATAAAATTTTGCCACAATCGTAATTATTACGTGGCATTAGTTGTACAAAATTGATTGGCGCTTTGGATTTTTTTCTAACGACGTTCAACGTGACAGTCATGCGCGACAGAAAATCCGTACGTGGGATTGGTGACAGCGCGTGACGTATTCGTCAGAGCGCGGCGCTCGCGTGTGCGAATTGAATTGTTCTAGAACTTTCGATTGTCCGTTGCCGGAGCTTGTTTGCGTGTACCGAATTGGTTTAAAAGAACAAAGAATGCCAAATCGATGATTTTTAACGAGGATTAAGATCATGCTCGAGATGAAATCACGAGCTCACTTTATGCGTGCGTTCAATGACAATTACTGTCGACTGAAAGAATTCTTGCTTTTCCCGAATTAACGATCTCAAACACGTACTCTAATAAACTCTTAAAATCTTTGACACTTGCTTGACAGTTGATGTTGCTCCACGCTTCGAAACAAAGAGAGGAAAGGACATACCATATAGCGGAATCTGATGAAGATGCATAGAGATCAGTTGAAGCAACATCATTTATTTCTGCCGCTTGGCAGGCCGGATCTACAAACGATACTTCGACTCACAAAAAGGACGTGGTTTATCCAAACTGAACACACTATGTCAATCCCTTCCATCATGGAATAACTTTATATTCTTACACAACTGATCGCAATCAGCTTTTCTTTTATAAGCGGCCTATAATTCGATAACTTTATCTTTCAATAATTCAAAAAGTAAGTGTAGGATAAATCTTTGTAAAAGAAAAATCATTTCAGAATTCAGTTAGAAAGACGTCTTTGCAAGGACACTGGGTTATTCTGAATCATCCTGTAGTAACTTCGAGCACGAATTTATACTCACCACAGATGTGTGTGTGTGTGGTTCGGATTACGCCATTGTTGGTGTGTCAAGAAGTTATAGGGCAAGATCTTCCAACTGCCTGGATATGCCTCCAGAGTATTAAACTCTACTGAAAAAAATTAGCTTCTGGCAATCGACTATTGCATAAATCATTTTCGGCTGTACCTATACGCATCTTCATTCTCGATACTGATCAACATGGCTGCATAGAAAGATCCGACATCACGACTTATGAGACCTATGAGATGACACCTGAAATTTGAAAAATATAATTATAATAATAATCATACATAAATCACGAATTTGCAACAACGCAGATGCTCTCTCTTGAAATCCAATTCCTGTTTCAAATTCCACTCACCTTTCTGATTATTCGAAAGAAACTCCATAATTCCGACTCATCTTTTCATTCACAGAAGATCTCTCCGATTCTGATGATGAACTACCTCGGAAATAAGCTGCCCGCCAGTCTAATATTAGAACGAAACGTCTGCGTCCTCCAAGGATGTTGACGACCTCAAAAGAAATAAGGTCTGAGGGATCTTCCTCTTCCCCTTTCTTTTCCTCTACTATTGCCTGTCCCTCTGCCAGAACTTCTAGCATTACTAGAACTCTTATCATCGAGACTATCTGAAACAGCAATATGGAAAATAATATTTTCGAATTAGATTCATTAAGAGATTTTAACGAAAATGTCTTTAATTTCCTCGCGAGAGTTGACAAAAATAAAGCAATTATTATTACAGTAGAATCTCTCTAAATTTAACTCCATAGGGCGATAAGAGTGAAATATCAAAATTATAGGTCAGTATTCATAGTCAGTTCTTATATTTAAGATCGTCTTAAGTTCTGTCTTGAGGTGTTATGAACCAATCAGAGGACCACATTAGCGTCTTAAGACATTACTTAAGACGGTCTTGAAATAAGAACAGACTATGAATACTGTTTGAGATCGGTAATTCGAAAGGAAAGCAAGAATTCTTTCAGTCGATCGACGTTAATTGTCATTGAACGCATGCACAAATTGAGCTCGTGATTTCATCTCAAACATGATTTTAATCCTCGTTAAAATCATCAAATTCGTCGTTCTTTGTTCTTTTTAAAAACAATTCGTTACACGCAAACAAGTTGTCGTTACCGGCAACGGACAATCGAAGGTTCTAGAACAATTCAATTCGCGCACGCGAGCGCCGCGCTCCGACGAATACGTCACGCGCTGTCACCAATCCCACGCACGGATTTTCTGTCGCGCACGACTGTTACGTTGAACGTCGCTAGAAAAGAATCCAAAGCGCCAATCAATTTTGTACACCTAATGCCACGTAATAATTACGATTGTGGCAAATTTTTATTGGATTTTTCCCAAAAGGGAAAGCTCAGGCCGAAAGCAATAAATGCTTCGATCTCGCCGTCCTCCTTCTTACTTCCAAAAAGGTTCTTAGAGTTCTTAGAGTCGTAATCTCGCTTCGTAAAATCGCCGTGCTAACCGTTTAGTGAAATCGCTATAAACCGAAACTTTCGAGAAGCGTCGAGAAAAATCGCCGAGATTTTCCATCACCGCGATTCCAAACTCAATTTGGAAAAGGTGACCGCTTTCTCACTCGAATCTGTCCGCGCGGTGCGCTCTCGCACAAATACCGACCATAGAGTATCTTCTCTACAGCACGAGTCTACCAATCATCACGTACTTGCATAGTTGCGCACGCTAATCTATCAAAGTGCACTATAGCATACATAACCTAAGCAGAATATATGTATCATATTGGATGCGTACTAGACACTTCAAACGCTCAGATGCTATTGCTACAAATACTTCCGATAGAGTGATTCATTAGCGCTACTAACACTGTCAACACTACACAAGTGGATCAATCATGAAGTGTTGGAAGCGTTAGACTATTGAATGTAACCTCTCATAAAAAATCTCGTAAACATCTTGTATTCTTAAGAAGACATTGAATAATTCATGTTAATATGGAGACGAATGTGGCATTAATACATGCAGTAATAAATATTTTTCAAAAATCTTGAAGTTATTAGGTGTACAACTTTGCTTCCACCGTTTTTTTTTCCGAAATTAGAAGCTTTATTGTAAAAAACTGGTTATACATTTATGATTTAAAGTATTGTCCATCGCTGGCCACTACTTTCTCCCATCTTTCGAGCAGCGTACGAATCCCGCGTCGAAAAAATTGGTCATCTTTTGAGGCGATCCACGAATCGATCCAATTTTTTATTTCTTCATAAGACCGGAAGTGTTGGTCAGCCAGGCCATGTGCCATTGATCAAAACAAGTGTCAGAGGGAGCAACGTCTGGAGAATACGGCGGGTGGGGTAGGACTTCCTATTTCAACGTTTCCAAGTATATCTTGATCACTTTCGCAACATGGGGTCGAGCATTGTAATGCTGAAAATCACTTTATCGTGTCTCTCGTTGTATTGCGTTTGTCTTTCAATGCTCGGCTCAAACGCATCAATTGCGTTCGATACTGATCGCCTGTGATTGTTTCAGTCGGTTTTAACAGCTCATAATACACTACGCCGAGCTGATCCCACCAAATACAGAGCATGATCTTGGAGCCGTGAATATTCGGTTTGGCCGTCGACGTGGAAGCATGTCAGGAACTCCCCATGATTTTCTGCGCTTGGGGTTATCGTAATGAATCCATTTTTCGTCTCCAGTCACAATGCGATGCAGAAATCTCTTCGGTCTTTGCCTTTCAAGCAGCTGTTCACAAGCAAACAAACGCCGTTCAACATCTCTCGGCTTCAACTCGTATGGCACCCAATTTCCTTGTTTCTGAATCATTCCCATGATTTTGAGGCGTTTTGAAATGGCTGTTGAGTCACTCCCAATGATAATGCCAATTCTTCTTGATTTTGAGTCTTCTGATCAAGTAATACCTCCAATTCTGCATCTTCGAAAACCTTCTCTCTTCCACCGCTATGACGATCTTCGACGTCAACATCACCGTTCTTCA